AATTGATAAGCTGAACTTCATGAAAATTTAAAACTTCTGCTCTGCAAAAGACGCTGTCAAGATGATGAAAAGACAAGCCATTTCAAAAGATGTATCTAACGAAGGGTTGCTATCCAAAACTACACAAAGGACTTTAAAACACAGTAGTAAGAAAACAAACGCTTCAATTAAACATGGACCTTAACAGATCTATTATCAAAGAAAATAAAGATAAATGGCAACTAGGTAGAATGAATTGCTACATCATACGCCAGTATGGAAGTGCAAGCTAAACCAAGGGAACACCACTGCACACGGATGGCGAACGCTGAGAGCCAGAACAGTGACACCACCAAGTGCTGCCAAGCATGTGCAGCTACAGGAATGTTTCTTCCTTGCTGTGAGAAGACAAAAGGGTAGAGCCACTTTGGAAGACAGGACAGCAGTTCCTCACAAAGTTATTAACACCAGAGATCCAGCTATCCTATGCCTTACTGTTCGGCAGAGTTGAAAACCTATGCCCACCGAATATCCTACGTGTCTCAGCCGTAATGGTCCAAACTAAGCAGGAATCGCAACATGCTTCAGGCGGTGAAAGGGTAAACTGGGGGACACCCAGAAAAATGGATTATCTTTCAGCCATGAAAGAAATGAGCTATCAAACTACACAAGGGCAACCTGGAAACTTAACTTCCTAAGTGACAAAATCCAATCTTTAATTATGCATAATATATGATTTCAAATATATGAATCCTGGGAAAGATAAAACAATGAATAAAGGCAGATAGGTGGCGTCATGTGAACCTGAAACTGCTGCAGAAAGTTCTTTTTCAAAAAAAAAAGAAAGAAAGAAAGAAAGAAATGTTAAAAGTGTCCCTTTTGTCTTCCACGTGACTGGGTGAAAACATGACATTTGGTACTGAGGTAATCATCTTGCAACACTGAGGTGCCAAGCCTGTGGATGAAAGGCCAGCACCTGCCAAGGCGAGCAGGGCAGAAAGAGAACAAAGCAGGCCACCCCCAACACTGTGGAACTGACAGCCTGCTATGGCTTCCGGCTCTATACGAGGTTCACACATGCCCCAGGTCACGCACTGTGAATCAGCAGTAATTGAGGGCATATCGCTCTTCTTGGCCTCGTGTGTCACTATGGGTTTCTGCCGTCAGGGCTCAATCACACAGATGGTCTACACGGTGGACTTGAGATTGAGAACCTTCAGCTGCGAGTCATCACCTTACAAAGGGATGTACTCCTCTGCTCTGCTCTTTGTGATGTAGCAAGGTCAAAGGTCCCTAGGACATGAGATCAGCCATCACACCCATCATTGTGATACCCTATTTAGCAGAGAGTGACCCTACAAGAGGAAAGACATCCCCAAGGGCAGGATCTGGCCACAGGAACCCTGCAATACAGAGAACTTTATGCAGGTGGGGTGGAAAGAAGATCAGAAACAGCCAGAGCACAAGCAGTGTTGGACGCACCCACACCAGATGTGCTGATGGAGCGGCTGTGGGATGTGGACAAAGTCTAGAAAGTGAAGAGTATTCCCACCTGAATTAGAAAATTCAGTCCCACAACCACAGCGAACTAATATTTGCTAAAACTCAAATGTGCTTGGCAGTAAATTCTTTCCCAGACCCAGAGCCCAGTCCAGCTGACACCTTGATTTTGGCCTTGTGACATCCTGAGAAGACAAATATTCAACCTCCAAGCAGGGGATTTGGTCCTATAGCAAAATGACATCATAAATGGGGCTGGGGGCGTTATGCTTCTGTTTTTGTGCTAATTTGCTACATCAGCACTGGAAACTCATACAGCAAGGAAATCCTCTTCATTCAGGCTAAGTTACTAAGCCCTTGTGGCAACAGAGCTATACTTCATTTTCTGGTCAGCTTATCAGCAGGAAAACTGATATTCTGATCACCATCTGACTCCTCAATTGTTTAATTGGTTCTGAGCTCTAAAGAAAAAGTTTAAAATATACATCTTAAAATAGTTATTTGAAAGGTAGAATTAGGGAGAGAGGTTTACTTCCCAGATGGCCTCAATAGGAGCCAGATGGAAGCCAGGAGCCAGGAATTTCATCTGAGTCACCCACGTGGGTTACAGAGCGCCCAAGCACTCCTGCTAAAACCAGAAACCCCTCAGAATACAGTCAGCTAGAAGGGTAGTTAATTTTTTTTAATATCCTTTCCACAACACTCTGCCCAAGAGATGACAGAAAACACAACAGATGAAGAGAAAAGATTAATTACCATTGGTGGGATGAAACAGCTGAAAATGTTCACAGCCACAAGCTTTGTTGGGTCATACCCTTCTCATTTCTCGAAGGTCACTTAAGAGGAACCAGTCCCTTTAATGTAGTTTAAATGAATGGCCAAGAACTGTGACATTTCCTATGAAACTGAACAGGCAGTAAGGAAACTATCACAGGGTCTATGTGTCCTGGGGAAGTGTGCTATGCCCATCCCCCCAAGAACTCAGTCGCCCCTTCAGCAGAGTCCTTCAGGGGACACGCAGGCAAACCAGGAATGTCCTGCCAGTTCAGTCACACTCATCTGTCTCTCCTCTAAGACTCCCAGAACCAGCCGCTTATCAGCAGTAAAATCTTTAAGACTCTGAGCCCCAAGTCTGTTCAATGATCCACATGGAGCAGCTGTAAGAGGTCGAAGTTTAATCTGCCTGGCTCCTAGGGTGAAATCCCTCGGGCTGCACAGGCTCCACACTTGGTAGCAGACGTGGTAAAATGACAGTGACCTCCATCCTCATCTAGAATGAGGTAGCTACAATCCTTTCTTCTACAAGTAAGAGCCTACATAGAAATAAAAACGCCAGGTTGGTCATTTCTCTGTTGGCATTCTCTTCTGCTGGGTTCATTTTTCTCCACCTTAGGGATCCTGAGGCAACAGCTAGGGGGCCACCTCTGAGAGGTCCAAAAAGCTCTTGGAGCCAGGAAAGCTCTCTGGTCAGAAAAGACCCAAACATGTGAGAAACAGAGCTGCTGGGGCAAAGCTGGGCATGCCTATGGGTGCAGCACTTAGCGGGCAGAGCTTGGGGAGCATGCCAGGAAAACTCACACACTCCCAGCTGCTCAGATGGATGCTGAATCCTTCCCTCACTCACAGACACATCCACGGAGGATTTCAGAACATGTGTGGGGAATGGAATGGGAACATAAGCACCCGGAGAGGTAGCAGGTTATAACTCAAGAGCTTGGGTCCCTGCCATTCCTGTAGATTTGGATGGAGTTCCTGCTCCAGGTTTTGACTTGACACAGCCCCAGCTGTGGAGTCAACCAGTAGACAGAAATCTCTCCTTCTCTCTCTCTCATTGTGTCTACACACACACACACACAAACTAACAAATGAAAGGGGGAAGCAAGGGAGGAAGGAAGCAAACAAGCAAGCTAATTTTGGTACTTGAAGTTTAAAATACTTTTTGAAGGTCTTCTTATATGCACAGATTTCAAAAAATTTTACACCAAAATACACGTTTTAACTGTCATTTGCCATAAACTTTTTGAAGTAATCCTATTTTGTATCCAGCCTTGTGCCAAGCTCTTTTCTGTATGTTGCTTTATTATAACCAAAATCTTAGGAAGTAGATCCCTTTTGCAAATGAGTACATGGAGGCAGCTTATCCAAGACTGCTAAGTTTACAATTGCTGGCCTAAAGCCATCAAGAAGGCCCTCTATCTCCTGCTCCTCTCTAACAAAAATGAACAATAGCAAAATGCAAAAATCCCTCAGGTTGGGCATTGGCTGCAGTACTTGAGTTGCCTCCTGAGACACCTGCATCCCACATCCCGGTGCCTAGGACTGACTCCTGGCTCCACTCCCAATATCAGCATCATGTGACTGTGCATCCCATGAGACAGCAAGAGATAGCTCAGGTAGCTAGGTGCCCGCTACCCACATGGGGGACCAAGACTGAGTTCCTGGCTCCTGGCTTCTGGGGCTGTTGCAAGCATTTGGGGAGGAAACTAGCAAATGGGAGATCTCTATCTCTCCATTCCTTTCAAATGAAATAAGTAAATACTAGCTTAAATACTTAAAAATCTTTGAAACTGCTCAATTGGGAAGCTTCCTTGCATTCTTCTACAGAGCAGCGTAAGCAGTGACTTCAGAGATAAACCTGTACTCAAAGTGTGGCAGTTTCTGTGTCAGAGAGGAAAATCACACAATTCCCCCACAATCGCTAGTTTCTGGAAAAGATCTCAAAATGTCATTTTTCGGAACTTGTTCATCATAATGAAGAGCTCTCTGATGAGGTTTTGAAAGGCTTGTGAATGAGGTCACTGCTGGGAAAGAGCAGAACTGGCCTCACACTAGGTGATGTGCCAAATCCCAGTTTGGTGTGAAATCACAAGGATGGATATGAGTCCCTGGGGTAATCACATCCGCTTCACCTGCCTCTCACTGGCAGGCCATCTTTAGGAAATAAGATCCATAAGTGGAGATTTTTGTCTCTTTTTTAGTGAAAATATTCCCAAAAGGGGGAAAAAAACCCCTACTAAGATAGTAATAATCATTAGCACTTTAGTATACAAGAGAATATCAGTATACTTTTGCAGAAAAACACTCAGTAGTAGAAGGAAGGAGAGGAAGGGGCCTTGAGCAGACAGGTGATAAGTCCAGAGCAGTGTCCAGAAAAACTGGCTTCTGGAAGAGGCAGCAGTCTATCTTGAAATACTGTGCTCAGTCGCAATATGGATGGGTTTACCGTACTCTCCTTCACTGTAAACTCAATAAGGAGCCCAGATGAAATATGGGCTCTTCAGAAATTCTGTGCTGATAAGTCTGTACTTAACCCTTTTGTGTTGTGATTCCAGAGACACTACGCTATTACAGGAAACTACTCAGAAAAGGGAAATTAGGCACAGTACCTCTGAACGTCACTGGCCCAAAGAGAAAACACAGCCACAGCGATAAGTTATTCAATAAAAGCAGAAGATACTTCGATGGTGCCTAAACCTGGAACTGTGTCCCAACGGTTAGGGTTCGGGTAGAGCAGTACTCACTCGAAAGACCTTCTCCACTCTTGCAATGCTTTTCCCAAAGATGGTTCCAAGTTGATCTCCAATTCCAGCCAATAAGAAACCAAAGAGTGGAATCCCAAAGATGGCATATAAAATACAAAATATTTTGCCTCCTTCAGTGCTTGGAGCAATATTCCCATACCCTGGTGAGAAATATTAAAAAGAGAGAGAGAGAAAGAGTAGTGAGGTGGCAGAGAAATTAGAGAATGGAACAGGATGTACAGGCATTTCAAAGATTCACACAATCCCCCAGCTCATGAGTTTTAGGGAGTAGCACTTCATTTCAAAGAGCCTAAGTAATTCGTCACATCAGTCTGTTGTTTCCCTTGCTTCTCTTCTTGAAAACAGTTTTGTCTCATGGATGTTAATGCATCTCATGAAGATTGTAGCCACTCATACTTGTATTTCTGGTGGAAAATGGCACAATCCTTGCTGTAGTTTGGGTAAGAGTTGACTCCTAAACACAGGCAGGATGTGAGACTGAGTGGCATAAGATTCTAAGAAGGCGGAAAATTAATGTGATTGTGGTGTTTGGAGGTGGGAACCAGAGGGTTGTCCTTTAGGCCATCAAGAGCATGCCATCAAGGATTGTTTTTAGGAAAGGGGTGTATCAAAGCCTAAGCTTGGGCCCAATCACTCTCTCTCTGACTCCTGGCTCAGAACAAGATCCTTCCTCCACATGTCACTGCACTCCACCATCACCATCTGTACCTTCCTCAAAGGCCAAACTGAGGGGGCCACCCAGTCATGCACTTGAACTTCTTAAGTTGTGATATACACAATCCCCCAGCTCATTTCCTTCTTCAGAAGCTGGTTGCCTCTGCCATCTCACTGTAGTAAATAAGAAACTTAGAGCTCTCTTGTTCTCTCTGCTGGGATTCCCACATCTTCTCTGAATTCCTGCTTCTCCTCCCATCTGCATCTTTTACCAAGGGTAATCAATGCCAAACAAAAGAAATAATTTATTGTCAGATTTATTAAAGTGTATTTCAAATAAGTCTTTGAAAATATAAGACTGTATTCTTAAAAGTTTTGCAATTGCATAAACTATATATAATACACATTGGGCCTATAGGAAAAAAAAAGGTTAATATCATTAGCAAAATTATATAGGTTGAAAGTTTCAAGGGATACTAAATATCTTTCTAACTAGAATTAGCATCCTACATGAACCAGTATCTAGATAGTTCCCTAGCAATTCGCCCAAATTGAAGTGGCTTGTATGGGGTCTTTGAATCCACATGCTGAAGGAGTTTCTGGGCCCATGGATGTGGGAGGTTGGGAATATGGCACACGGTGGTGTTGATGCTTGGTCCACAGGCACTCTCCAACAAGCACGGAGAACTCACTGTCTCTGCTTTGGGAATGAGTCACTGGTTATTTTCCTTTTCAATTTCCTGTTCAGAATCATCCAAACCTCTTATCACAAATTATCTAAATTACAGTTTCCATTTCTTCTGTGAGTATTCTGGCAAGACTTCTTAATCTTGTGTTTCCTTAATTTACCATCATTTGGACATAAATGTGCAAAAACAGCTCTCAGAACTTTTCTCAAGTGCTTTGAGAAACTTGAATAAAATCTTTTCTCCTAACATTTCTTTTCTCTAGAAGAATTCAATTTGCACTAACCTAGCCCTACTGAAAGGGAAATACATATGCTTGTTTATCTTTACTTTATGCAGATTTACAGTGACTCTTGGCAAGTGTTCTCATAACTTGTGGAAATACTGAAGACCATAGCACTGTCTCCTAATTATACGACTCAGGGAAACAAGTTTTCTGAATGTCTCAGAAAGAAATATAAGCACAAACAAAAGCAATCTGGGGGTTAGAGACCACTGAATGGGCATCAGATTAATCCTGACAGGATCACCCCTTCCTTCCTGATAACCACTTTCAGGGCAAGGTGCTGTTCTATGTCACAGAACATGTCCAGTGCCTTTCAAGGAGCAGAGAGAAGATAGAAATTTGAAGCTCATCATGCCACTTGTTGGTTCTTAGATCTATTTAAACTCTCCAAATTCTAGTACTGGGAGGGGCCAAGGAAATGCGGGGTGGGATGGAGGCCACAGAAGTACCAATGCAAAGCAAACAAGCAGTATTAAAAGAATTATTTGTCTCACATTTCTTGAACTAGAACACTCAAATCAAAGTAAAGCAAGGTTCTTAGGTCAGAGCAGTAGTGATGAAATATTCAAGTAAGTTTTCATAGCAATTTTTCCTTGGTGACTCACTTCCTAATTTAAAAAAAAAAGCAATTACCATTCTTGAGCAATGCTATACAGATGCTCCTCATCTCACAATTACATTATGTCCTGATAAACCCTTAATAGATTGAAAACAAGTGAAACACACAGTTCTTGGCCACACAGCTCGCTGAAGAGTAACGGTCGTTTAGCCTTATGATTGCTGCTGTCACCAGATATTACAAGAGTATCCTATCCTGTATCTCTGGCCCAAGAAACAGTGAAATCACAATGTGAAGCGTGGTTTCTACTGATTGTGTATCACATTTACATCATTGTAAAATTGGAAAACTCCTTAGTCGGACCATCATAAATCAGGAATCATCTACATTTTGTGTACAGGTCCAAGAGTGTGTTTATGTCCATGTGAAACACATGGAGAGACTATTTGATCTTCAAACCCATTGCGCTGAGAACAGGCCAGCTCTTACACTAAGGAATGTGGCCCTGAGACAACAGGAGGATCCTTGTAGATTTGGGGCTCTAGTCATAGCAGGCCTATTACCCTGTCTTGTCCATCCTTCCACAATGTTCGTAGAGCTTTTAAGGAAGACGTAACTGTTATATGTAGGCTTTAGAATTAGAGATATCAATTCCTATTCTGCTTCTCCTATTTACTGACTCTCAGATCTTGGCAAGTTACTTAGCCTTTCAGATTCACTCTATGTATAAGATAGGACTATCCTAGGGTTAGTCAAGATTCAAGTTATATGGGAAGCATGACGTATGTGTGAAGATCAAACACATGTGAAGCATGACATCCCATGAGAAGTAGCAATTACCTCCTTGCCCTGTAGCTTCCTGTGGAAGGAATCACTTCTAAACAGTATGTCTCCAGGAAAACTAAACCGTAGGAGAAAAGATATGGCTGATCTGTTTTCCCTGAAGGAAATGCTGTTTTCCAACTGCCACAGGACAAATGAATCAAGTAAGGTTGGCTCAATGATTTGGGTGAGTCTTTGGTTGGACTGGATGTGTGGGAAGTCTCAGGTCAGCAGGGGGCAATGGGAACTGATAAATGAGAGGGAGGAGCAACTGTTTAAAGACCTCACACACTGGCTCAGTTAGTTAATTCTCCCCTCACAAGCACCAGGATCCCAAAGGACACCAGTTCGTGTCCCAGCTGCTCCACTTCCCATCCAGCTCCCTGCTTGTTGCCTGGAAAAGCAGTGGACAATAGTCCAAGGCATTGGGACCTTGTTACCCATGTGGGAGACCTAGAGAAGGTTCTGGCTGCTGGCTCTGACTATTGTGGCCACTTCGGAGTGAACCAGAGGATGCAAGATCTTTGTCTCTTTCTCCTTCTCTCAGTGAACCTGCCTTTCCAAATAAATAAATAAATCTTTATTTTAAAAACACTGATTTTATCAAAGGAAAAGTTCAAAGAATTCTACTACCAACTGACTTCTGGTGATTTAGAGCAGAAGACAGCAGGAAGCCATCCACAACCCAAATAGGGTTTGTAATGAATGAATGGGACCAAAACAGGACTCAGCTCTGTTCATCCCTGGCTAGGAAACAGCTCTTAGTCCTTCACAAAGAGAAAATTACAATTCAAAGAGGACTAATTCCTGTGGAACACACACAGAACCCTCCAGTTGCTATTTATATGGCAAAGTCAAGTTTCTGCCAAAGTGTTCAGGTGTGTGTATTTGGTTAACAGCATGCATTCTAGAACCAGCTTCTTATAAGATGCGTAGCTGTCTTATGTATATTCAATTTGTGCAGTCACACAGGGACACACACCTAGAAGCATCCATTCTTGACTTAAGGCTCTGTTATTGCCATCTCGATGTTTTTAATTTTTTTAAACAACTGAATTTTGTCCTAAGCCCCACTGGCTATGTAGCTGGCCCTAGCAAATAATGTGGGTAGGTTCCATTGCCTCCCAACCATGAGTTATGGACCACATTAGCTTCTCTGGACTTTAGTCTTTTCATAAGTAAAATGAAGCTCACCACAGTACCTACCCCATGTTGTTATTACAGGATTAAATGAGATCATATAAGTGAAGCACAATGATTGAGACATAGGAAAGACTCAGTAAATGTTAACCCCGACTATGAAAGCCATGAGCTATGTATCCCACCCAACAGCTCAGTAAGCACAAACAGCTGCCTCTATACTTTGCTGTATACAACCATGAACCGAGGCTGCCAGCTGACAACAGTCAACAGCTACCACCTAGAATCTGATCAGTGCCATTCTAATGTGGGTAGGGATACGTGTCCCAATCAGTAAATGCCTCAGACTAAAATCTAAGTGCATTTCGTAGCCGTTAGTCAGAATGCAATCATTTGCTACCATGCTGCAAATAACAGTCGATAGGAGCACCTGCATTGTAGGATTGTGCACCATTCGTAGAGTTTAGAAAATCTAGTTTGGAGGACCTACCAGAAGAGTTGATAATCAAGGCAGATGGGGCTTTCTCAGGCCAGAATTCATGAGAAAGGGAACAAGGAGAGGACACTCATTATAAAAACTGAGCAAAGGGGCCAGGATCATGACACAGTGGCTAAAACCATAACCTGTAACATTGGCATCCCATTTGAGCACTAGTTTAAGTCCCAGCTGCTCTACTTCCAATCCAGTTCATTGCTAATGCACCTGAGAGAGCAAGAAGATGACCCAAGTGCCTGGGTCCCTGTTACCCACATGAGAGACCTGATTGAAGTTCCTGGCTTGTAGCTTCAGTTTGGTCTCGGCTCCAGTCACTGTAGTCATTGAAGAATAAACAAGCCTAAGCAGGTCCCTCTTTCTCTCTGTCATTCCCTCTCTCTCTGTAACTCTGCATTTCAAATAAATTAATCTCTTTTTAAAAAAGAAGAAAGACTGAGCAGAGCACGCCCTTCTTTCTCGTGTGGGAATTGGCTTGAACAAGCACCTAGAGGTACCCC